TGATAGAGAAAAACGAACTTTGTCGGATCTTAGCAAAAGTAGCTCTAGAAAATTTTGGAAGTATATACGTAAATATAATAATAATAGATGTAATAGAAAAGGAAATAATTTAAAAGTCAAATTTATTTTTTAAACCCAAATTTTTTTGGGTAATTTTTTCAAAACCCCAAAACAAGAGTATTTTTAATTTATATTATGGGGGTTGTTAGAGTTTAAAACTTTCATAGACAGCCCTTGTTTTTTCCCCTTTTTTTTTAAAAGAAAAGGCCATTTCCAGTTTAAATCGTTTTTAAAAACAGTGATATTGTTTGGAAAATTACGATTTTGTTATTCAAAAAATTTTTAAATTATTCCCAATTATGTTTCAAAAATTTTTTAATTTTTTATTAAAATTAAAAGGTAAATTTTATCCTTTTTAAAGGCTTTAGTTAAAGGAGCAATTTTTAAAAACAAAAAAAGGGGGTATTATACTGACCCTGCAAATTTATGAGGGAAAACCCTTTGGGAAATTTTGTGCAAAATTTTTCGTTTTTGGTTTTAAACGTAATCGTATTAATAAATTTTTTTGGAAATGAAAAATGTTATTGAATGACAGCCCAATTTGGTGTTCAGAGATAAGCTAGTATGCTTGATTGTATTTTTCTTTTGCATGCGATAATTCAAAGGTTTTGTTTAAATAAATGTTAAAAACTCTATTTGGTGCCTTTATTGACTTACGAGAAAAGCTTTCGATACTGTAATACACGGAGGCTTTATGGATAAAAATTAGTACAGCTGGAATTTAACTGCAAAAATTATTAAAATGATAAAAGCGAATTTATGAAAATGTTAAGTCGTGTAAAAAAAATCATGATAATAGCTCGAATCTCAAATTTTTTGAATATCTCACTCGGACTGAAACTAAGGGGAACCACTCCTCGCCCCTTCTTTTTATTTTATTTGTAAATGATATATCCTTCTTGTAATTAATTTTCTATAAAAAACTTTCTAATGATGAATATAAATTTATTGTCAAGATGTACATGTTTATTGTTTGCCCTGAGACATTTGGCACAAATTTACTCCCAAACCCTGACAGTCAAACAACTCCAACTCAACCGGGAAAATTAGAATTTCAGAAAAGGGGAAAAAATTAAATGTGGGAAAAAAACCAAAATATTTATTTTTATAAAAAAATTTCTAGACAAAATTTAATACCCTTTGGTTTTTTGTTTAATGAGCCTTTTGGGAAATATTTATTCTTTTTTGTTATTTTGGGTAAATTTCAATTTTTTTATACGGGTTTTCAAAGGGTTTAAATGCTGAAAAAATTTAAGCGACCAAGCCGAAGGCATAAACAATTTTTTTTGTCCGTTTTAGAAAGAATAAAACTAACTTTAAAAAACTAAATTGTCCCTTTTTTCGACTCTCTCTTTTTCCCAAAAATATTTTTAATGGATCTAAAGTCGGGGGGAAAAATTATAACTCCCAAAAAAAATTTAAAAAAAATTTGGGCATTCCTTTTTTGAAAAAATATTTCCTTGGTTGTTCTTTCCTCAGATTTTTTAATTTCTGTTTTGGAGAGTTTGGGCCCGTTTTTCTTTTATTCTTTTAATCTTAAGAAGTGCTCTTTAAATTCGGGTTAATATTTTAAATGAAAAAATCCGGGGGTTTCTTTATTACAATATCAATATTTTTTTGGGAAAACAATGTTTTTTTTTTCCCCCTTTTAATAAAAACCTTTTTTTCAACCCGGGCTTTTTAAAAAACAATTTTGATGTTTTTGGATATAGCTACTTTTGGAATTTCCCCCAAAAACCTTGATTAAATTTTTCCCAATTTTTAAAACAAAGGTTTACTTTAAGTATTTTCAAACAGGGAAGATAAAATTTAATAATAATTAAAATTGTTTTTAAATTAATATGAATTCAAAAGTGATTTAAATAAAAAATGTATTTTTGATTTTGGTTACAAAAAAATGACTTTAAAAAAGAAAAAAATTGTCTGTTTAGACCCCTTGTTCCCATCTTCTTGAAATCGAAAGTGGTAGATTTGCAGGTATTGATCGAAACCTACGAACTTGTAAACTTTGTTCACTTAATGTTGAATCTGAATATCATTTTTTGTTATGCTGTCCACTCTATAGAAACCTTCGTCGAAAATATAATGTTAATTATTCTTTTCCATGCATTAATAAATTTACTAGATTATTGTCTTCAAGTAATAATAGAACAATTAGGAATATTGCCAAATTTGTATTTTATGCAATGCATTTGAGAAATGAAAAACTTGCAATTATTGCTGCTTCTTAGGTTCTTGTATTATAACTGTATTGTATTACATGTATTGTATTTATGTTAAATGTAAATTGTATTATCTTGGCCATCCTTTTGTATATTGTAAATGGCCAAAGGTATATTGTATATGCCGATTTGCCAATAAACTGAAACTGAAACTGATAATTTATTACTCTAGCAGTATATTTACACCGTCTGACAATAAAGTGCAATAAATTTCATAAAATGTTATTAGCGCCGTCTCATATTTGTGTAGACTGTGATAAATGAAGTTAAACTGGTGATGCAACTTAACAACAAATGATCATTTTATTGAATCATTATGGTGAAACTTGAAGTTCAACATCAAAATGCTATTAATATCAACGACATTGTTTATGGTAGAATTGGCGCATTATGCCAATTATGTAACATATGCCTTTTAATAATCTTGAACATACTTTGGTGTAAATTTTGATATTTGCTATATTATCCTGTCCTGGTATTTCGGCATCATTGGTTTCAACACTTTGTTAGGTTCAGATTGAATACTGCTTAAACCGATGCTAGGAGTCGTGAGTAATAATGCGCTTTTCCATTATCTTTCGTGAAAAGACTCAAACCGAGTCTGCAATTTTCATTATTAAACACTGTTTTTATACACTCGATGGATCTGTTTAGCAGAAGAATATAAGGCCAATTTATTCAAATAAATCGAACAAATGAAATGTGTACCAGAGTTTGCTTTATGTTGTCTTAATAAAATGCAAAACTTTTATCTTTATAAAGGGTGAAAATGATGAAATGACAAATATATTCGTTTTTCCGCATTTATTATAAACCATAATGTTATATTTCAATGTATGTACATAATGCCAAAATAAATCTAAAATCAAACCGCGGAGGAAAGGAAAATATGTAACATTGTTCCCATTGATTAATATTTGTGAACAAATGGTTTTTAAGCATCAAACAATCATAAGATAATCTATGATACTTTTATTTCTGGGATAATACCATGCTTTTGTTTATCAATATTTTGTAAATAAAGTTGGTTATTCCTTTAAAAGATCTTTCTCCAGATGTGTTATGTTAAAAATAAGCAATACACCACTGTATTCGTGAATTAGAATCTAAAGACGTTTTTCTACTTTTCTCCATGTCTTCGCCTTGTAAATCGTTCCTTGTAGCATGGCAATTTGAATTCATAAAAACGCTAACTGAAGCATGTTAAATGTTGTCCCAAAAGCGATAATTCATCAATGCATTTATTGAATATGGACAAATATTTAACTATTTGAACGTCTATTAGTAATGTTATGTTTTATATCAATTTGTCGCGACTGTTTTCTCATTTATATCATTTCAAATATTAATATAATGTTACGCAATTACATGTGGCTAGAAAAAACAGTATAGTTAAATAAAAGGGTTCAGCAGATACTGATACTCGTTTAAATATGCAATCAATCGTACTGGTTTTTATTCTCTGAATATTTGTTCCTCATATAGTCAGACACAATGCCTTTATGGCAATCCTACAAGTTGTTAAACCCCAAATGTATTGAATTAGAGTGACAATTTGTAACAGATTGAATTGTGTTTTCGATAGAGGTAAATTATATGAAATGATCCGCAAATGTGTAATATCAAACCATGTATCTATTTTTCTATTTTAAAAAAGAAAAAGAATCCCTAAAAAACACCAAAAATGGCGGCAGGCTCTGATTGATTGAAATTTTCAGTGGTCGGTACTTGAAAAGGCTGGCTACTGTTCCTTCCCCTCATGTCCGAAACCCATAAACACTTATTTCGGACAAAAGAATCATTATGATATGACTGTCAACAAAGCAATTTTTATGCGTGCATTCAAACCACTTGCTCTTGACCGCTGTTAATTCATGTCCCACCAGGTACTTTGGATTCTTGCATGTGAGGAAGCTAGCCAGCTAGTTTACATTGATGGTTCTACTCAGGTGCCCGTTAAAAGCCTGTAAAATTTTACGACATATGAGGTCTGCCTTCACGAGTACAGCTGGAAAGTTGCCGTATGACCGAGACATTAAATCCAACATGAAAAATGATCCCACAAGGGGGAGCAGTTTCTGTAGATATGACCTCGTAGTTTACATTTTACAGTTGTAAACAGGTTGAAAAGTGTGTGTATCTGTCGATCTTGTAGTTTTAAAGTTACGTGTCCTCTATTCGAAGAAGCGCCTCTAAACCCTTTACATTTTTTCTTCCAATTCCTCGTTCTTTATTTTTGATAATAATTATTATAATATTGTAATTGATATAAGCCATAATATTATTGTTGTATTTATTGTACTCTGCTCTTTTCTTTTCCTTCTTTTTTTCTTCTATTTATCTTTTCTATTTTCCTTCAAAGATATTAACAGATTTTAAACTTCTTTTATCTCAGATTCTCTTGACATAAAATGAAAAGGTAAAGGTCTTCTTTATTATAGTGTCACCCCTACTGAAAGGGCCAGCCATTTATGACTTATAAGACACCTTTTGCTTGCATACTATGTACCCCCAACTCATACTACTATGCCAGGCGCCAGACGGATAGAAATCGGTAACCCTTCATTTTAACTTCCTCGCGGTTCACGAAGCGGCCATTTTCGAACGAGTCCCACGAGAAACATTCATTCTTTTATTACCGCTCCCCGTTGGGCTCGAATCTTCGACCTCCCGATCCGAAGGCGTACACCTTAACCACTAGGCCAACGGTACCGGTATAAAAATATGGAACCGCTTCACGAATTTTGCTTGCATCCTTGCGCAGGGGCCATGCTAATTTTCTCTGTATCTTTTGATTTTTAGTATATGTAAACATATATTTACTATTACTTAATATAAGGATAATAAATAGTTTTCCGCGACATTTTTTTTGTTGTTGTTTTTTTGTTGTTGTTTTTTTAATTTATTAATTATTATTACTTCTTTTTTATAATCTAATTTCAGTCAATGTCTTGTTCAATTATTGGAACAATTTTATCTGTATATATCTTTTATATGGTTTATTTTGTATTTGAAAACAAATATTTGTAAATATGATACTGCCAACAAAACCAGTTAAGACATGTAAATGCAGACTGTCCTGAAGAAAAAAAACAATTTTTTTGCCATGGGCATATCATGTTCAGTTCATTTAAACGCGATGATAAGCGGTTTTATTTTACAATCAAATCTGTTTTTCCTAAATAACATTCGTGTGTTTGAAATTCAAAAAATATCAAACATTATGTATTAATGGTATTTTTTATTTTTTTATTGATTGGTAAAATATTTTGAGCAAAGTGTGCATAGACATGTTAAGTATGAAATAACAAAAGAGGCATTGCTCCTTTCCAAAACAACTTTCATGAATTTGCTTTTAATCTTTGACATTTTATAATGCTTAAGGAAACATTATTTTAATACTTGTATCATCATAAGTTGTTTGAACTAGTTTTACTTGTTTAGATATTATAGTTAGAGTTATATATATCCAGGTACGTTAACAAAATGTATCTCTAATTGATATTAAAATCTTTATAAGACATTGATAAATGTATATTTATTTATTTCTCTTGATACGTATATTTACTTAATTTATAAGGACAAAAATAGGGCACATTTATATCCGATTTTTATGTACAAACCTGTTTTAAGAAATTTATTAATGAATGTCATTGTGTTTAAAATAAAATATGTTAATGAACGTGACTATATTATACAAGTAGAGAAAGGAAAAAAACAATAGATTCAAACGTGTCATTTTAAACAAACATAAAGCAGATAATAATTATGTTGTTTCATTGTTGACAAATCACATGTTTTATTGATTGCTCAAATTCTTAAATAAAAGACTATAAAAATGCTAAATGTTATAATTAAGCATTTATCTTTCTGAATACTAAACTGCTCTCTCAGAAAGCCTGACGAAATACAATGCTAAAGAGAAGTACTAAAAACTTAAATGACGCCATTAACTTTTAAGTTGAATTATATAAATGTTTATTCGTTCTAGTTACAAGAAAATGTTCCTTTTATTATAATCATTTTTGCAATGTTTTTTCATAAGAAATAAATATATGCGACGTCACATTTGCCCTGATGATAGAGAAAAAACGGACAAGAAGTTACAACGGACAACTCCTTGAGAAACCTGTTTGCAAATCATTTAATAAATTAACTCTTGTTTTATTTATGTGTGACCTTTTTCCGGCATTTATTTTTCTTTCTTTTTTTTGTATGTACATGTAATTTTATACTGTATGTGTTTAGCTGGTTTAAGAAATAGGAATTTTAAATCGTATGTTTTCCTGAAATTTGAAAATGGTTTTTACTTGAGCCTCAGTATATTTACTTCAAAACCATTTCATGTTGCATATTTTACAAATAGGAAAGACAGAATTATTATTCTACAACTACAATGCACCTTATAAAGAACGGATATCACTTGACATTTAATCAAAACTGTTTATTGAATAAGAATAATAAAGATTTATTTATTTTGAGTGACAATGTTACAATATAAATAGGTTATGCAGGCCGATAGTCAAAGAAACAAAGAGCAAAGAAATGAAAAAAAGATGAACATAAGCGGTTCTCATGGTAGCATTATTTTACTATCTATTGAATAGTTCTTATTTGTTTGATATAACTGTATTTTTCCTGTACATTAATTTGGTTATGCATAAACATAACCTGTTACATAATGACTAACTTATTAATGTCAAACCACATATTATACAGTGCTTATTTCCCTATATTATATACATACCGATTTTAAGAAACATACTTTGACAATCGCCAATCTTGGATTAAATAAAGCATTTGTTCCAATGGGGGTTGCGTTCATTGAACGCCGCCTTTCCTTGTTGATCTTGTTTATCATATTTAATATTATATTTATATTCTGTATTTTTACCTGAGCCTATATTAACTTCAATACCTTATAAAGAACGAATATCTCTTTGACTTTAAATCAAGTCTGCTTATTGAATAAGAATGATGCAGATTTATTCGTTTTAAGTCACAATGTGACACTATAAGAAAGTTATGCATCTAGATAATCGAAGAAACAAAGAATGAAGAAATATTTGTCTAAGTTATAAGAAAGAATGTAAGCGGTTCTCACTGCAGCAGTATTTTACAGATCTATTGTATAGTTCTTATTAGTTTGATATAATTGTATTTTACCTGTCTTAGAGACACAATAGTTGTTTTGTACATTATAACATAACATTACATATTGACTAATCGATTAATATACGTATGTAACATAAAGTCAAACCACATATTATACGTTGGTTTTCCCTATATGATATACATACCGATGTTTAGAAACATACTTTTTTAGAACAACCTTTGGCATATTTTCAACATGTAATGGATGTAAGAATAGAAACAAGCATCACTGAGCTCAAAACATGACCAAGCATGTTTTAGGATATTTTTCCCGTGATTAATGTGATCCAAATGTTAGAGTATTGCTGGTTTAAGTTAAATACCACAGACATTCTGTATCAAGGGATAAAGAATTCCATAAAAACATTTTAATGTATTCTACAACATGTCTATTAAAACAAACCTGAAGATTATTGCGATAAATGACTGATTCAATTTAAAGTATGTTTAGAGTCCGTTTTTGTTTTGAGTTTTTTTTTTAATCAATCAGTTATGAGGCAAAATAAATCATGTACTTCCATGTAACATATCAAAGAAATGTCTAAAATTCTGTCAATCTTGTCCTTATAAATTATCTGTATTGGGATAAAAAAAAACTTATTCGCTTCTTCGGTAATTAAATTTCCCTCTCTTTTAATCTAAATAATCTGTTAAGGACTGAAATAAAACTTTCTAAGCTGTAATTACAATTCATCGAGATCTCAAAAATGAGGAAACCACACTAATTATATTTACATATAAGGGAAATCTTTTAAACCGCATTCATTTAAAGGTCCTTTATGCCCCAGAAATTATTTTTTTTATTTTACAAGATTTTTCATTTTTGCTGTACTTTTATAGTTTCCAAAAAAGTAGCTCATTGGACAATTACCTGATTTGTATTTTTCTTCTGTTTCTTTTTGGCAATACGTACAGTTATAGAGGTTTCTTCAGATAACAAGCATCAAAACATGCTCTGAAACCATTATTTAAACGTAATGAAACTCATGTTTTCCCTTTCTAAAGAAGTAAACATTTTTCGTTTCTGAGGCATAATGTGACTTAAAGGCACAAGATCATTAGTTTATATATTTTTTGCATATATCTAGATACATATTTTTGCGGTGGACTTGAACATAAAGTATCTAGTTCTTTACGTAAAAATCAACCCTTAGACTAATTAGTTAGCAAGATAATAATACTGCAAACTTACATGTAAAACTGTTGACAAAAATATAAAATTATACATTCTAACGAATAAATTACATTTTATTAATCAAACTTTAAGACAATGAGTTATTTCCTATCATTACCAATTTGTGATTAGTTATTTTTGACAGAACTTATGATGAGGGTCCATCCACCCGTTAAGGCACAAAAAGCAGCTTTTGTTGTCGAGTACGGACCAAGGACATATCACCTGTCATGCGCTTAAAGGTTTAAATGTGAAGCACATAATAGTGATAACTTACCTCCGTGCTTAGCCAAAGATATGAATTTTGAGGCAAAAAGAATGTCATTTAAGGCGGTCAATGACAACTTAAAAGTAAAGATACATTAGACAGAATGGAAAAGAGAAGGTAGCCTTAAAAGGGGCTGTTGTGCAAGTAAAATGCGCCGCAACTAAAGCCCTCTAACTGTACTAGGGGCCAGGCAGCCTAGTACCATTTCTCGTCGTCACGTATAGTCTGATTTTATTGACCTGTCAATTATGAATATATTATAGCACTCATTTACATATTCGATCCCACTTCGGTTTTTTCCGTTTATTTTACGATAATTAATATGAAGTGTATCACTTACGTTTGGAAAACTCCCACTAGATTAATTTAGGTTCTTGTAACATCCGCAATAGCACAGTCGGTTAAGTGATTACCTAATGCATGAGAGGTCCGAAGTTCGATCCCCTTTTTTGACATTCTTTTTAGACTTATTCTTTCTTTATTTTTAAGTATATTTAATAAAAATGGTCAAGCGCTTGCAATTTTTATGTACAAACCTGTTTTAAGAAATTTATTAATGAATGTCATTGTGTTTAAAATAAAATATGTTTATGAACGTGACTATATTATACAAGTAGAGAAAGGAAAAAAACAATAGATTCAAACGTGTCATTTTAAACAAACATAAAGCAGATAATAATTATGTTGTTTCATTGTTGACAAATCACATGTTTTATTGATTGCTCAAATTCTTAAATAAAAGACTATAAAAATGCTAAATGTTATAATTAAGCATTTATCTTTCTGAATACTAAACTGCTCTCTCAGAAAGCCTGATGAAATACAATGCTAAAGAGAAGTACTAAAAACTTAAATGACGCCATTAACTTTTAAGTTGAATTATATAAATGTTTATTCGTTCTAGTTACAAGAAAATGTTCCTTTTATTATAATCATTTTTGCAATGTTTTTTCATAAGAAATAAATATATGCGACGTCACATTTGCCCTGATGATAGAGAAAAAACGGACAAGAAGTTACAACGGACAACTCCTTGAGAAACCTGTTTGCAAATCATTTAATAAATTAACTCTTGTTTTATTTATGTGTGACCTTTTTCCGGCATTTATTTTTCTTTCTTTTTTTGTATGTACATGTAATTTTATACTGTATGTGTTTAGCTGGTTTAAGAAATAGGAATTTTAAATCGTATGTTTTCCTGAAATTTGAAAATGGTTTTTACTTGAG